GTACAAATACAGATAATCACATACATCTGTACACACACTGACAGACACACACACACACACACACACACAGAGAGAGAGACAGACACACACACGAGCACAGACACACACACACACACACACACACACACACCTACTCGGCTTGAAATTCCCCTCCATCATTGAAAAAACAATCAACTGAGCAATAGCCCTCAACCTCCTTATCAGAATAAAAACAACTCAGGACTCCTTCTGCCATCACCTACAGACCCAGCTTGGCAGTCCTTCTATATTGCAGTGCAAGCACAGAGTCAACGAGTACGGCACCCGGAACTCTTGCTTGTATTGTCTGGAAAATGCACTCTAGTACAACAACTAATTTAGATAAAATACAGAACAAACAATATTGAATCATTTTGAAGAAAGGCATTAATATAGTACAGAGTCATACAAGGAATTTTTTATATATATATTAAACAAAGTTATTGGCTTTGTCTGTAAAGTACCTAAGAGACTTTTCTTTATTTATGAACAACATAAACTAGTTAAAAAAAAAAGTTATGCTATCTAAATGATAAAAACAACTAAGGAGAATCACAATGAATTTTATTTGAGCAAAATACAATGTTCAACTCCATTACTTTTTAATTAATTTCACCACAAATGTATTTAACATAACTTACAGTACACTCACTACATTCATGAATGTAACTTTTACAGTACGATCTGATACTGAGGAACAACATTTCTTTTGCAATGGATGCAACAATCAACTACATTACTTCATTAATTTAAGTCTTTCTGCTCTATTTGAAGACATCTTTCAAGCCTTTGTTTAAAGGCGAACTAAGACTTCTACATATCATTTTAAAACTCGCTGAAGTCATTTTGATAATATGAGATTATAAAACATATAATAACATTTTTTGTAAAATCTAAAACATTTATTACACGCTCTATGGAATCTCTTACTATGGAAGCTTGTTTCCGCCACTGAATAAAAATAAAATAAAAAAATAATTGCGACTTTTTATCTCATAATTGTGAGATATGATGTCAGAATTCTGAGAAATAAAGTTGCAATTGCGAGATATAAAGTCGCAATTCTGAGAAATAAAGTCGCAATTGCGAGATATAAAGTCGCAATTCTGAGAAATAAAGAAAGTCGCAATTGCGAGATATAAAGTCGCAATTATGAGAAATAAAGTCGCAATTGCGAGGAAAAAAAAGACAGAATTGCGACTTTTTATCTCACAATTCTGACTTTATAACACATAATTACGAGTTTATATCTCGAAATTCTGACATCTTTTCTGACAAAGTCAGAATTGCGAGATGTAAACTCGCAATTGTGAGAAAAAAAGTCGCAATTACCTTTTTTATTTTTCATTCTGTAGCGGAAACAAGCTTCCATATCTTACAATTAAAAGCCGTTAACACAAAAGAACAATTGTTAAAACAGCATAAATAATGCTTATTTACTTACTGCCATCGAATCCATCGCCGGAAGTGATTGTAATGAACTGCACGTGCACACATGCGTATACTTTGCGCATGCGTGGTAACACATACGTACATATGTGACGTGAATACGTGACGTCACCGCGCTACAGTCTGCAGCGAGGGGTATCTCGGGACAGAGGGCGGAGCTTCAAGAGCTTGTGCGTGTTTGCAGCTCTGATTACCTCATGCAGCATATTCTATCATAATATTCTATAAAATCAATCGTGTGGTAACTGTTGTAAGATGCCTACAGAGTGACATGCTATTGCATTTGTGATGTCACTAACCCGTGACAGGTTAGTGATGGGTTAGTGATGTCACTAACCCGAGAGGAATGCCGTGTAGTCCCATACCAGCTTTGTTGTAGTCGTTAAAAAAACGATTTCCTTAAAGCTGCAATCCGTAGCTTTTTTTGGGTTAAAATGATCCAAAATACATATTTGAGAAAATACATAACCAGCCAGTATTCAAAACTCTCTGCTTGCCTTAGCTCGATTCAAAGCGGTAAGCTTGTAATAATGTTTTTAATTCCAGTGGTACTGGTGGATTTCTGCGGGAGATTCGAGCATGTCTTTGCGTCATTACGTCACATCTGTACACATAAAGAAGGTGTCGGCTAGTAGGCTATATTGCGTGTGAGGATGTTGGAGGTGGAGATTTATAGCCTTTTTTCACAGCACTTGATATAATTAAACTTATCAATTTGATGGTGGATCCAGAAAGGTTCAAACGACAATCACCAGTGACAACAGATTCACCCGCTGTAAAATACAAAAGACTTCGCTCGGACTTCGGAGTGGCTACAGAAAAAAAGAGACTGCAACCGGCCCCATGCGAAAACAAGGATACATATCGGAAGGACATTACATGTAGTCACGCAATGCTGACGTTGTTAACATCTACAATTTGAGAACAAAATATAATTTGCACGGTTTTGCGTGATGATAAGCGATTTTTAGATTTAATCAGCGCGATTTACTGCAATGTCAGAACCAGAACAAAAGTGGATGTTACTTACTTGTTCAAATGACATTTTCCGGTGAAAATTATTATGTTGGTCATACTTCCAAAAATAATAATCTGTGATTCTGAATGCCAGTATCCACACCGGCACGGTGACTGACAGCTGAGTTGATAATTCCGCGAATGACTGCAATTGCAGATTTCGAACAGAGATAGCGACAAAGAGGAAAAACTGCGGACTGCAGCTTTAAAAGCAAATATCTTTTGCTTGCTGATGTTGTTTATGCTCAAACAGTAACATTACACTAAAGTTAGAAAAGTGAAATCATAATCAATCACCCCTTTAAAGTTATCTATAATAATAATGATAAATAAGTTCATGGTTCTCTGGTGTTGGTTAATGTTCGGTTAATGTTCAATGTTCGGTTAATTCAGGTAGACGAATAAAATATATCATATTTTAGTGTTTTATTTTATTTTGACTTTTTATTTTTAAATTATTGATTTTAATTTAGAAATTGCATGATTTAATTACTTAATAGCTTTTCATTAAACTCACAAACCCCATCACAAACCACTTTTCTTCATGTAAAATTTAGTTTGAAACAGCTTTTTTTTTTATTCTCAGGTCCGGTGTTACAGCTGTCACAAGTGTTGTATTATTATTATGTATTCATTTTATTCCAATATATCGTTTCTTAATTTGTTGAAATTAAGGTTTTATTTGATTACTTTTGTTATGTGATTTTTTTTTTATTCTGTTTAGTTTTAATTTATTTTTATTTCAGTTTTAGTAATATAGTAGGCTAATACAAACTTATATAATTCTAGATTCTAGAACATGCTATAGCTTTACGCAGGGCATGCCTGTTCCTCTCTATCTCCATCACACAATGGCACAAGGCCACATTCTCCCCTGCATTCTTTGTTTGTGTGGAAAACACTGTTGCCTGGCAACGACTAAAGCCAGGAGACTGTGCCATTCTAGGATGAAGGTAGAGCTATATCTGTGCATAAGTGTGGGTTTGTTCGCTTGCATAAGCAGGTATGCTGGTGCATTGAACGTTTGCTGTGAAGTATTTGCTGTGAACAGAAGTATTAACCCTGTGGGGAAGCGAGACTGTTAGTGTATCTGAACCTATTTTACTTTCATAATGCAGCATATTTTTGAGTGAAACAGGTTCTGAATTTCCATATATTTTTGCTGTAATGTAAAATTCTACCAGTATTTGAAGATAAACTCAATTTCATTCCCTCATTTACTCATGTTGAATAACAATAACGCTAGTTTGCATGTAAATTAGGACTTGAAAAAGGTGATTCACTATTAACTGATTCAGAAAAAAATTCCCTTTTTTCTTTGGAATAGTGTACACTGATTATGGAAGCTTGTTTCCGCCACAGAATAAATCATTTTAAAAGATAGTTGCGACTTTTTATCTCACAATTGCGAGTTTACATCTAGCAATTCTGACTTTATTTCTCGGAATTGTGAGATATAAAGTCAGAATTGCTTGAAATGAAGTCGCAATTGTGTGTTATAAAGTCAGAATTGCGAGATATAAACTCACAATTGCGTGTTATAAAGTAAGAATTGCACGTTTATTTGCGACTTTATATCACGCTATTGTGAGAAAAAAAAAGTCAGAATTGTGAGAGAAAGTCGGAATTACCTTTTTATTTTTTATTCTGTGGTGGAAACAAGCTTCCAAAACCGATAAACTCTGCACCAGTGTTGGGGGTAACGAATTACAAGTAACATGAGTTAAAGTAATCAGATTACTTTTTCAAGTAACGATTAGTTATGCATTACTTTCAAATTTACAAAATATGAGTTACTTTTTCAACAAGTAACGCAAGTGAGAAATTAGGAGTGAAGTGCAGAGGCGTTGTGTGCGCTGCGTAAACATGATGGTTATTGTAGTTCTAGACTAAATGTGAGCTTGCTGCATGCATTTACTTATCTCACTTGCACAAACCAGATTTAGTATTTCTCAAAATGAATAAAAACAGTGAGATGCAAACTCAGAATATTACACGAACCTGGAATAATACACATATAGCCTACTTTATGTATTTAATCTCACTTTATTACCCAATGACTTTGGTGCTCACATTTGATGATCCAAATCAACCATATGAATAAGCAAAAATCAGTGTTTAGTTTAGTCACATTAGATTCATTTTTTTAATTTTTTTTATTGCTGAACTAAAAGTAGGGAATTTTCTTCTACGTCCTAATCTCTTGCCATCCAGAATTACAAGCACAGCTGAAAGCTTTTAAAAAACAAAAACAAAAAAAACAAGCAAGCCCAGCTCAGAAAAAGTAACGCAATGCATTATTTTCCATAAAAAAGTAACTAATTCACGTAATTAATTGGGTTTTTTTAGGAAGTAATGCAATATTATAACCCATTAAGTTTTGGAAGAATATGCCGAATATTTTCATGATGTGTCTCTTTCACACTATACAGATGCCTCTCATTCACGTGGGGTTATATTTCCAGTACCATGTCCTTCTGACTCTGACTCACTCTTTCTCTCCTGTCTCTCATTAGCTCGTCCCACGTTTACCATGTTGTTGCTCGGACTCTTGCCGCTGATGTTACTACGGGGGTGTGGTTGCCAGGCGGCAGACGTTCCTGAGGATGTGACGGCAGAGTTCTCGGTCAGACTGTACCACCAGCTCCAGATCACGGGGGGAGAGGAGAACATCATCTTCTCCCCGCTGAGCGTGGCTCTGGCTCTGGGCATGGTGGAGCTGGGCGCCCGTGGCTCTTCTTTAGAGGAGATCAGACAGGCCTTGGGCTACAGTCATTTCAGAGAAGGTACAGTTAACAAAATCTATAGCATGATAGGTTACATGTTCTCTTTCATCTTCAACTTTTGAGTCTTTTCCCTGTTGGCCGCAACAGTGACCAAGCACTTTTTCCTATACATTTTTTTTAAAGGCATTTCAGCAAATTCTGCACCAAACTAATTATAACATTACAACATTTGATTCAAAGCACTAAAAAGTATAGGTATCATTCTAGGTTTGACTTGAAATGTTTATACAAGCAAATCTCACGAAAACACGGCCAAGTGACAATTTACCCACAAATCAAAAAAGAAAATAGATATTTTGCATAAATAGAATCAAAACTTTCATAGTCATATGATATTTTCATTACAATTAAGCTAATTTTCCAAAAACAAATTGTGTGATTCCCACTAATCTTAGCAGGGATTCTATATCAATTAAAGGCAGTACAACAAATGGTTTGAACTTTAAAATAATATTTATTTGTTTGCATTACTGTGATGAGAAATTTGACTGTTGGCTCGAAAAGATTAGTCTGACTGAAAGTTTAAAATCATTTTAAAAACTTGAAGTTTATATAGGCCTGATCAATGTTCCCTCTAATTGTAAAAGCAGACTATATCTGTATACAAATTGTTTATGTACGACTTAAAAAAAACATTATAAATATAAAACAAAATAATATTTCTTTATTTATTAGAATGTTGGCTTGAAAAGATCAGTCTGAAATTTTAGTTTAGAGGTTATAAACAAACAGTTTAAGTAATAATTAATAAAAATACTTGTCATCCACTGTCCATTAAAGGGGTCATCGGATGCCCATTTTCCACAAGTTGGTATGATTCTGTAGGGTCTTCATGTAGTTTGTAACATACTTTGGTTAAAATTCCTCAATGGTTGTGTAAACAACACCCTTTTTACCTCCTCAAAAACAGCTCTGTTCACAGCGACCCGTTTAGGTGCATGTCTCTTTAAATGCTAATAAGCAACTGCTCACCCCACCCCTCTCTTCCATGGGGGGTGTCACTCAAGACATAAAGTGCTGCCTTGGCGGACAGTAAACAAATGGCTGAGGGCTGAAATTTGTTAATACATGAAATATGCTAATACGGGACAGTCCGTCAGTGGTCGTGGGTGGAGCATGAGCAATATGACATCATATTGCTCAGTAAATCCAAACGGCTTGATTACTGAGAGTGTTTAAGCTTTTTGAGGATGAATGGATTTTTTTCATTGTATGGTGGTTGTGTCCACACACTGCAAAGACACATTTATATGCAAACACCATATAAAAGCGAATTTTGCATCCGATGACCCCTTTAAACATATTTTGCTGGACTGTAATACTTTGAGAAATGCCCTTTGAGAAACTTCTTTTATTCTGTTGATACTTTTGTAAAGGTTTTTAAACAAGTAAATCCAAATTAAGTCTTTAAAATTATTTTAAACATTTTTTTATTTTTGAATAACTAAACCTGGCTCTCGCCATTAACATAACAATAGAAGCTGGAATGGTGTTAAAAAAGGAAAGAAATTAATAATAATAATAATAATAATACATTTAAACAAAATTTAAATGAATTGTATATTATTTATTTAATTATTATTATTTTGCTTTACAGTAATGTGAAATTTTACTTTTTTTTATTTTGGAGTGAAATATGTCCTAGTTTCTAAATAGATTTAGAATTTTTAAAGAGATTATTAATACCGGACCTTACTATTGCAGCATATAATACAAAAGCATTTTCTTGTTCTCTTCACCTGCTCCAGATGAGGAGTTCTCTCTGCTGAGTAACTTGACCCAGGCCCTGTCCACTGACGAAGAGCAGTACGTGGTCCGGCTGGCCAACTCCCTCTTTCTGCAGAGGGGGGTTCACTTCAATGAGGACTTCCTGCAGCTCATGAAGAAGTACTTCAAAGCGGAGCTGGAGACGGTGGACTTCAGCGAGTCAGCAGCCGTAGCTGAACGCATCAACTCTTGGGTGCTGAACCACACGGAGAGTAAGTCATCTTACACCACTGAGGAAAAAATGTATTCAAACTGGCTGTGTGCTTTTGTAAAATATTTTTTACAATAACTGTATTCTATTTGAATATATTTTAAAATGTAATTTATTTCTGATGTCAAAGCTGAATTTTCAGCATCATCATTACTCAGTGTCACATAGGGTTGGGTACCGAAACTCGGTGCCAATAGGGAACCGGTTCCGACGTAAACGGTAGTAACCAGACCGAATAAGAACGAAAATTTCGGTGCCTGATTTCGGTGCCTGACTTCATTAGGCACACACGCACACACACACACACAAGGTCTCTCGCTCTCTCCCTCTCCGCCGCGCGTGTGCTACACAGTTTGGCGCACAGTTTCTTCTGTCTCGCATGCGCGCTCTTTCTCGCAAGGTTTGGCTGCATTTCACGTGTAAAACTACGTGTCAGAACGCCCTCTGGGTGTGCCGATAGTCTGAATCCCATATAGAATCAAGCCAATTCATTGGCTGATGGCGCGGGCGCCGCATCGACGCACTTACGTCGTCATATTATGTTGGCGCGCGCGCGCCATCTGCTCCTCTGATTTCTCTGCCGAAAAAGGAAGCTGGTCGGCAGCGCGAGGAGCTTGGCAGCGTCCCGTTCATGTTACACCAGCAACCAGAGATGTTCTCTTTCATAGGTTCACTCAACGCTGCGTAGCTAAGAAGCAGTGGATTTGTAGGCTGCTGTATCACGTGGCGTTTGAACTGACGCGCTACAGCGATCTGTCACATTTCAAAGAGCCAAAACGTTATTTATTGTGTGAATCTCGTTAAAATATTGACAGAATCTGACAGCTGTGGATTTGTTCCATATCAAAAGTAACCTTCTCTGTCTTGTCTGTCGGTGTCAGTGTCCTCTTTGTCCCCGATTTCTCTGTGTGAAAAGGGTCATTTGCGTGAGCCTCACGGTCAATGCGTGAGAGTTGGCAGCTCTGCCTGCTAGAAATCTCTATTAATCTCCAGTATTATTACATTGTTTGATACAATATTGTTTCATTTGATATTATGTAAATATGAATTTTTATTTTATATTGGTTTTATTATTACCATATGTTACTTGTATTTATATTGTTTAAAGATTTAAGTTGATATTGTGTCCAGTTTGGCCCTGTAAATTAAAGGGTATTATTTTTTTATAAAGTGTGTACGGTTTCATTTTCTTAAGTACCGATTTAAGAACCGTTTAAGCACCGGAACCGTTTAAAAAATACCGAGTAGGTACTGGAATCGGATAAAACCCAACCGATACCCAACCCTAGTGTCACATGATCTTCAGCATCATTACTTCAGTGTCACATGATCCTTCAGAAAGTGATTTGCTGCTAAAGAAACATTTCTTATTAGTATCAATGTTGAAAATAGCTTGATGTATTTTTATCAGAAATCTTTTGTAACATTATAGATGTCTTTACTGTCACTTTTGATCAATTTATTACATCCTTACTGAATAAAAGTATTAATTTCCCCAAATATATTATATAGAAATATATATGTCATTTAACCACTGAATAAATACAAAGCGTGTAATCCAATTTAGAATGATTTTACTTTCAAGTAAAACTCTCTTCAAAATGAATAGATGGCATTAAGAGGAATTACTATGACTTTAGTGAAGGAGGACATTAAAGTAGATAATGGCAGATCAGTCATATTCTGCATAATAATGACATTTCCAATCCATTTCCAGGCAGATCCATTTTCTCACAGTCAGCTTTAGCCTTCGCAGGAGGACTGTCAGATACCAGCACAAATCCCAGAGCTTTGGAAGAGAGATGATTTTATGCCACTGAAGAGATCTTGCCGTCTTTCCTGTTCCGAGAAAGAGAGGATTGTGACATGCAGCGTTTTTTTCAGTCTGGGTTTTTGTTGTTGTTGCAGGCAAAGTCCAAAACCTGGTGTCTGCCGACGACTTCAGCAGCTCCAACATGATCATGTTAGTAAATGCTGTGTACTTCAGGGGCAGCTGGAAGAACCAGTTCAGACCAGAAAACACCAGAACCTTCTCCTTCACCAAGGATGATGGCAGTGAAGTTCAGACCTTGATGATGTACCAGCAGGGAGACTTCTACTACGGTAAGACCAGGCTTGAATTAGTTTTTTTTATTATTATTTGTTAATTCGCTGTATGTCTTTTCCTATGGAGTGATTGCAGGAGTTTAACTAGAAAATGAAAGTATGAATATTGGCTTGAAAAGAGTAGTCTGAAAGTAATGGCTACTGAAAATTCAGCTTTGCTATCACAGGAATAAATTTGCATTTTAAAGTATATTAAGATAGAAGATCATTTTAAATTGCTGAAAAATTCCAAAGTATTACAGTTTTACTGTATTTTTAACAAATAAATGCAGTCATGGTAAGATGTTCTTCAAAAGCAGTGGTATATAGTATGCATGGCTCACTGCGGATTGGTCAGGCTGAGACTTTCAGATCCCACAGAATCACTGCAGTGCGCTTGTCCCATCCATCTCTTCGACAAAAAAAGACAGATGAAGGTAAATGAGAGACAGAGCTATCTTCAACATTTGCATTCTCTAGCTCTTAAAAACGGGAAAAGCAGAGTCACATTAAAGCTAGGTTTTATGCTTTTCACAAACACTTTTTGTTATATTCTGGCTCAGGGTAAGTAATGTTTTTCATAAACACTTTTTGTTATACTGGTTGAAACTCTTTTTGCATCCTGATAGCAATCAATAATAGAAGTGGTCTAAATATTAAAAATGTACATATATTGTCTGTGGAAGTCTCAGGACCAAAAAATGTTGTTGCACAGAAATCTGCTGTCAATAAAGTTCTTTGGCGTTAGCGTAGGCCCCGTCCATAGCTCGCAATCCGAGGATCCGGACTCTGCATTTCCTGCCTGAAGACGAAGGCAGGGGCGCAGCTGACCCCCTGGGAGGTATAGGAAGGGACCATCCTGGTGGTGCTGGGGAGGATGGAGGGGAAGGGACCATCCTGGTGGTGGTGGGGAGGATGGAGGGGAAGGGACCATCCTGGTGGTGGTGGGGAGGATGGAGGGGAAGGAACCATCTTGATGGTGGTAGGGAGGATGGAGGTGAATGAAAGCGTCAGCATCTGCGAACTCAGACATGTGTAAGTACTGGTCTTTTATACCGCAAGTATTAGAACACGATTGGATAGATGAGAAGGTAATAAGTGACGTAGCAATTGAGTCTTCCTGGCAGAATTTAACGCTAAAGCTTCCATTTCCTCCTGAACCAAAACATCAAGCGTATGCTGCGTTCACGTAGTTCCCTGTCGTAACTAGCATAATTAAGAGAAGGCAACCCGTGACGTTCTGCCTGGAGCTGTTCACATCCTCAGACTCGGAATTATGAGTTTCTATATATATATAGTCTAGATAAATGTCATCAATATCAACGCCGAAATTAATTTTAAGCAGTCAGGGGGTAAAAGTAAGAGCTCTCTAAATTGTTCACATTCATTATTATTGTAATGTTATGTGCTTTGAGACATGAGATGACGCTGCTGTGTGAGTTGTGATCATGTGTTTTGAAGGAGGCGTGGCTTTGGAGACGCTCTGAAGGGAGGGCTGGATCTCATGCTTTCAAAGCTAGCTTGCTATTGCTAGCCTCTCTGAAATTGCCTAACTTAGCTTTCGAGGACATTGGAAATGGCTCAGTACAGAACTTCAAAACATCCTGCTAAATGCCATACTTAGTTGATAAGAATGCTCTTCCAGGACCAACATTTAAAAATGACAAAATTACTAAAACTTTAACTAAAATGAAAATGAAACTTCAACATATGAATGAAAGCTACCGGTATTATAGTATCTCAATCATACTAAAGTAACATGGCTCCATCATTCAGTAGATTTAATAATCACTAACCTCGCCATGTTCTCCATCATCAGGAGAGTTCAGCGATGGCACCACAGAGGCGGGTGGAGCGTACCAGGTCCTGGAGATGGTCTATGAAGGAGAAGACATGAGCATGATGATCGTTCTGCCCCGTCAGGAGGTTCCTCTGGCCACCCTGGAGCCCATCATCAAAGCCCAGCTGCTGGAGGAGTGGGCCAACAACGTCAAGAGGCAGAAGGTGGAGGTCTACCTGCCCAGGTGAGCCGCACGGTGTTCTGTTTTACCAGGTGTTTTCATTTCATTTATAAATGATTTTTGATTTATGTAAAACCTGTGTAATTGTTGTTTTTGGACAAAGTTCACACTGACCTGATCATTTTTTAGATTTAAGGTGGAACAAAAGATCGATCTGAGAGACACACTGCAGCAGCTGGGCATTAAGAACATCTTCACCAAAGATGCCGATCTGTCAGCCATGACAACCGAGGTGACAGGTAATCGATAAAACAAATCCACTGACCTATGAGAACGCTTTGTTATTCTGAACATGTATGCAGATGATCAAAATGTGATTGACAGCTCAAGGACAGGATGTAACACACTTGTTTTTCTCTGGCAACCACCCAGCTATTGTTGTGCCGACTTTTGCTCATACAAGCATCACCCACATTTTTAGCATCAAAGACGTTCTATTTATCTATTTGCATATGCTATATAATAATAATAATAATAATTATTATTATTATTAAGTCTAATTGTGATGATCATATATGCATACAGCACGTTTTTATTCAGCTGAAATGATCTTGTTTTCTGTGTTGGGTGTGGTGAAAATAACAAAAGTGTTTTTGTTTTAATTTGATTCATTTTTCAATTAGTCAGATTCAGTTTTATTATTTTATATATTTTTTTATGTTCAATATTATTATTTTAGTATTTTTTTCATGTTCAAAAGTATTTTATTTTACATGTGTTTCATGTTCATTATTATTATTATATAAAAAATTTCATGTTCAATTTATCAATTGTTCTATTTCAGTGCTAAATATGCCCTTAAAACTATAATCTGTGAATGAGCTGTATGTGTTTTTACACTGCTCTGCATCCCTAATTACACCAGCTCATAAATAAATGGAAATAACTTGCTTTGCATATTCAGATTCTGTAATCTTCTTTATTTACATATTCTGTCTGTCTACAGATGGACAGGATCTGTTTATCGGGAAGGCTGTGCAGAAGGCTTACCTGGAGGTGACGGAGGAAGGGGCCGAGGGGGCCGCAGGATCAGGTGACACTAATCTCTATTTTACTGGCACATTCTACTATAATTACATTACACATTTAATATTCTTTCTCTATCTGCATTTCTAATTCAAATTTTCCCTTTTCAAGTCTCCCCTTTATCACTGTTTCTCAATTTTACCTTTTGTGCACCTTAACTTTCCTCCCCATCCTTCCTTTTTCTGTCTGTTCTCTATACGCTTTTTTCTCACTGCAGTAAATTGCTTTGAGAATCTTGTACATTCAGACAAGCTAAAAGCGCCCCCTCCTGTTCAACACAAGTCTTTTTAATCAAGGTTCATAAAAGGTTGACTGAGTCGTCATGTAGTGTTGGTTAAATCCTTTTAATATTAGTTTTTATATATCAGTTCTGTATTGATGTCAAAAACAAACAAGGAAGTCCGAAATTATGAAAAGGATTTTAAAATAAGGCATGTGCCGCTTAGATGTTAAAAAAAACGAAAACATTAGATGTATATTTTAAATGTCCAATATCAGTTGGACAATTAGGCCTTAGTTATAGGCTTATGAAATTATAATAAACCAACATGACCCATATATTTCAATAATGATAGAAATATATATACACAAATATACAAAACAGATGTGCACCACAATCTTTGTAAACCATGCACAAAAATTGTTTCACAGAAAAATCAATTCATGGCCAGTTCTTAATTTATACCTAGAGGATATAGGGACTTATATGAATATATGACCATTACTCATTTTTATATGTGATAATGACTTTGCTCTTAAATGTGACAATGTATTGTGCCAATACACGTATTAGGATGTTTACAGTAATACTTCGTCAATAGATGTGCTTACACTATATGGCACTGATGAAGGGTTGATCCCGAAAACATTTGCACTTTGCACTTTATTGGACCTTTTTGTGGCTTCTGTAAATTTGAATGTAAAGATTTTTATTTTTGGAGAACATTTTTGTGTCCATTCTTTTCATTAGGTTATACCAGTTAAATAGCATTTTGCAGAACAAGGACAAATTTGATCAACTAACCTTGAGGGCCTGAAGGAAGAATATAATTCCCAGTTTTATGGTTATGCATGTTGTTAACACAGCATTGACGCTAAACAACGGATTTTTAGTGAACAAACAGTTTTTTAAATATTAATATTTTAAACCAAAAGATCATGCCAAACTACTTAAAGGTTTTCCCCAAGGATTGTACACCCTCATTTTAAACCCCACAAAAATATTACAATTAATTTGAATAAAAAATATTAAAATTAATTAAAAAAAAATTTTAATTAAATAAAAGAAATGTTTCACATCACTGAGCCACTATTGTTTGTCTTTCCCACAGGTATGATAGCATTGACGAGGACGCTGGTGCTTTACCCACAGGTCATGGCTGACCACCCTTTTTTCTTCGTCATCAGAAACAGAAAAACAGGTACATGCCATCTTCAAAAAACCATGACCATAACACAAATTGAAAACAACAATATATACACTGCTGTTAAAACCCATACAGCAACATAGTGTTGGCCCAGATCCGGCCCACATCTGGACAGTGTGGAATCCACGTGTACCAGATGAGGGCCGTGTACAATGATATTGTAAAATATTAGGTTCCACTTTATTTCGATAGTCCACTTTAGACATTCTACTAACTATAAGTAACTTTGCAGCTACATGTCAACTAACACTCATTAGAGTATTAGTAGACTGTCAGTAGACTGTTAGGTTAGGGTTCGGGTTAGTAGAATAATTTGACTTGTAGTTGCCAAGTTACTTATAGTCAGTAGAATGTCTGTTGGGGAGCATCAAAATAAAGTGTTTGCAAATATTAAGCAGACAGTCTACTAATACTCTAATGACAGTTAGTTGACATATAGTTGCAAAGTTATTTATAGTTAGTAGAATGTCTAAAGTGGACTATTGAAATAAAGTGTTACCAAATATTATTCCATGTTAAAATAACTGTTTTATATTTATTTCTGTGATGGCAAAGCTAAATTTTAAGCATCCAGTCTTCAGGGTCACATGATCCTTCATAAATCATTATAATATGATGATTTGCTGCTCAAGAAACATTTTTTATTATTATCAATGCTGAAAACCGTTATACTTTTTTCAGGTCCAAAAATACAAAGTGTAAATAAAAGTATTCATTTCTTAAAAAAAAATAAAAAATAATTACTGACCCCAAACTTTTGAATGGTATTGTAATGTGTATATATAAAGCACAAATCTTATTTTAGTATTGTGGGTTTTTTTTTTTTCTGTGAATGTTATCAGTTGTGCTGTTAATTAATTGTTTTTATTTTGTTTTCTAATAGGATCAATCCTCTTTATGGGCAGGGTTATGAATCCTGAAGTCATCGAGCCCTTTGACAACAACTTTGACATGTAAAAGCCCAGCAATCACAACTTGACACTCAGCCGAGTTCATGCTTATCTTCTACCAACCACGAGTTACATCACAGAAAGCAAACTCATTACTTTGCCATGGTTTTCTAAACACAAAGGAAAATATTATATAAACAAGATATTTATATTATGAAAGTGATTGTGTTTTGATACTCATAAGCTTTAACCGTACCAGGAAATACAGAGCTGTAAATATTTGAAGTCGCCCAGACAGCAACATAGTGTCGGCCCAGATGCGGCCCACATCTGGTACGCGTTGAATCCACATGTACCAGATGTGGCCCGGATCTGGGCCGACACTATGCAATCACTCCATTCCATGTATTCCCATTCAATCACGTCTTATTCCACACCAGCATAATTCGTTCCTGTAATTCCTGTATTTCTTCTCTTGTATATTTGCTATTGTGTTACGTAGAGAAAACGTTGATATTTATTGCAAGGATTTGTGCACTTCTCTATATGTAGACTCACTTAAGGTCTTTTATTCCCCTCAACCACCACCACCTTTGTTTGGTTTTGTACATGGCTGAACTACTGCTGACATACTAATATGCCTTATTATATAAATATGAGTTTTTGATTTAATGTAAGATTGCGAATGTACAGGTAGTGGAGCGCTGTTGCCATGGAGACTCAGGCAGACCAAGAGAGAGTGCATTTGGTATAAAAATTGAAAAAATACCCGCTGTATTCTCTATTTCAGAAATAAAGATGAATGTCTTCAACTTGTCGTCTTGTGTAACTTTAGTGACAGAAGTTTTGACATTTCAGAATTGATCCAAAATATAGATACAGAAAAGCCTCTAGTCTAGCCTATGGTTTCACACACTGCCAGCACACACTTTTGATGTCTAAGATAACCTCTATTGAAAACTATAACAATCCACTTCAAAGACAAGCAACATATATTACTTTACTGACAATAGGTGCACTTATGTTGGTGGAGTTAATGTAAATGTAAACAGTCAGGTTAGTAACATTTAAAATATGTCTAGTGCGTAATTTTGCGTGATTAAGTGAGATTATATGCCAAAGCGAGAGAAGGTGCTCAAAGCAGTGTTCAAACAGAGTAAAATGTCTATTTGAAGACCAACTCTATTGAAACTACTTCATGTTTTATCACAATTTGAGTTGCTTGCAGATAAATCTTACAAATGAACAAAGTATTTTGTGCTGTTGCAGAAGATTCCAGCCATGATGAAGACAATCCGTTCTTGTGCAGTCCAAGCACACTGTCCACTGTAAGTGTGATTTATGGCCACTGCCATAACCTGCTTTATTGAAGCTGGAGCTCTGTGTTCGGTTCTGAAACAGCACTCCTCTCACATTAGCATTACCTTAAACTCTTCAATAGATGTCAAGGGGAGTCTTAGTTTGCAGAAGCTCCCATTCATAGCTAAATATTTCTTGGAGACCCAGCCATCGTCGCAAGAACAGACTGACTACCATATCAAGTTTGGCAATTGTGAACTCCTATAGCAGCAGTGGCCAGATGATTCTTGGTAGTATGCCATGTTGATAAATCCAAGTCTTGAACCGCCCTGGGTGACCACTCCTGTCGACTTTTGCAACCATTGCTCACACTCCCCACAAGTACCTCTTACTGCTGCCTTGTCCTTGAGTGCTGCATACATTTTAACAGGATTACCTGTGATGGTTGGGATTTGGTAACCTCTATTGAGAATCTAAATCTGAGACTCTCCCCTTCTTCAGCACTACAGATCTTGATTTGCAGGCTTAAAGTACATCCTTGCCCACTTCATCAGCCTTTCTAGCCCCTTCAAAATTCACCTAGCACCTGGTACCAAATTAGTTCAATCTAAAGTTAGAATGAATCAGTTTTGTAAACGAATCGGTTTATTGAATAATTCACTCATAAAGATTGTCACTTGTCGCCACCTACAGGCTCACCAATATATCTTGCAGAAAAAGTCATTATATACATATACATATTTATTTATTTATTTATATTATATATATATAATACGAATATATGCTTTTGAGAGTCAATTATGTTTTATTAGGTATTTATCGTCTCTGACAGACTGCGTGTTGAAGCCGCTCAGGCCTGTAGATACCAATAGATAAAGTTGATACGTTTTTGTTATTGCTATGGACTAAATTGACAAGAGTGAAGTAGAAGAATTCACTGTGAAGCTTACACTGGCGACGTACCTAAGAGAAAACTGATCTCAAGTGATACAATTTTCAGCAGTAAAGTTTTTTTCCCAAATCTAGTGGGGTAAAACCATATCTATGGGTAAAACGCTTCCCACTATCATACAACCGTTGGTTTTCCATCAAATGTAATTGGTGGTTGAATAAAAATATTTGGACATAATATTTAAAAATCCCCTCAATTTAGTATCAGCTAGCTAGTTAGCTAGCTAGCCAGTTAGCATCAGCTAACAATATTTTTCAAATAGGCTGATTTTCAGCATGGAAAATCAGCCTATTTTTTTGGAAAATCAATATCTACTGTTATTTTGGCATGTCTTATAAACTAAAACTGCTCTGATTTGTCAGTAAATGTATACTTTTATACATTTACCCCCCCCCCCCCCCCCACACACACACACACACACTAGCCTACTGTTGTACTGTTTTCCCTCACTCTATAGTTTATTTAAATGGTCTAGCGGTGTGACAAATTCATTTTCATAAGTACAAATCTCAATATGACAATGATGACCACATAAAAGGGGTATTGATATACTGCATTTTCCAAAAGTCACTGAAGTGCAACCTTAGACACACACTGCTGCCCTAGTTGACCTCCGTGCGCAGATCACTGAAGCTGACGCTGCTGCGCGCATGCGCAGAGCTTACACTCACCTGTCGCACTTTAGCACACTATTCATCCATCATCAATGGGAAACCGCACTATATTCCTTGTAAATAATACTCTTCACTGCATGTCAAATGCCAAAGGGATCTGTCAGAACCTACGGACATGTCCGAAAGGTAGGAAAAGTTTTGAAACATGGAGATGTCTTGCTGTTTCTTCTTCTTCTTCTTCTTCTTCTTCTTCTTCTTTTTTCTGTACACTGTCTGGAACAAAAACGCATGATCAGCTGGCTTTTATTTTAGATCTGTCTGCTTCATTCAGGTTTGGAAGACTGTTTATAGTTACTTTTCTGCATAATTTATGGGAATTACCACTGGAACATGAATATCTACCTTTAAAGCAATTTTATTCGTGGACTAAATAGGCTTTAGGTAATTATGATATTGTCACAGTTATTAAGACATTATATTAAAACATTAGTATGACATTATGTAATCTATGTCCATGTTACAAATATTTAATGATATTGTAATGAATCACTAAGTGAAAATAATGTGTATTTACAAGTAGCAGCTTCACAAAACCTAGCACATCATCAATAGCCATTACAGCGTTAACATGAGCACATCTTATACTGTTCTGATATAATGTGCGGGTGTGCTCGGGTGGCGTGGGTGACTTTAATCCGGATCAGGGTGCAGAGTTCACGGTAATCTACACCAGAACCTCAGCCCAGCGGATGTAAGGACGCACGGGCTCTTATTACACACAGAGGATGTGTCTCAATGCCTGCTGAGCTCCCTAGGCAGGAACATGTGTCGTAGGTGTTCTATCGAATCTATGATTCTAATTTCTATAAGGATGGTGTGTCATTTGATAAATTAAGTGGTAGTTTAATATGATTGAATCTGAATGAATGAATAAATAAATGAACAAACGAACGAACGAACAAAGGAAGTATGGCTAATAATTAATTATAATAAAAAAAAAACATTAAATAACAACCGCACATTTTTAATTTTTGCAGTAGCATATGTTGAACGGAATTTCAAAAATGGAGCTGGGGATTTCCTAGTTTAGTGGTGTGTATGTGTATATATATAGTACATATATATACTACATATATAGGCTATGACTTTTTTCAAAAACATTAAAAATAGTCTTTTTTTTACTTTTGACCAGTACACTATATACAGTATATACATGATCTTGGGGGGAGTCAACTCACTATGTTTTTGGCCACAGCCAAGGATCTGTCAATATTTGTGCAAATTTATTGAAATTAGTTGGTTATATGTCATTAATAATATTATTTATTTGTATAAAGCTTATCATAGCAAGGTAATGTGAAGTCAAATAGCTATATTTGTATATCGATTCAAATTTGAATGTAATTTGAATGTTAAGCATGAGGCCGAAGTAATGTTTGTTAATGACTTCAGTCTCTCTTTGTCTAGTTCCTCTGGAGTGAACACCAGCAGTGAAAGTTTTCCGAAGTCTCACTCGCACTACTCTGAGTTAAGCGACACACACACTCCTTTCTCTGTGGAACTGACTCCAGACTCTGGCATTGTTGCCACACCAGTAAGCCAATTCAAAGTCAATATGATTGCAAAGTATCATGTGTGGTTTGATTGACACCTTATTTGTCTATACTGTATGGACATTGAATGTTGTCATTACGTTTATTTTGTGTAGTTGCCATCCAGCCGGTTCAGGTTTGCCTCGTGGCACTGGCTCGAGGAGCATGATGTCCGCGGAGACCAGCTCGCCTGTCCCAGGGTCAGAGAGGGTAAGAGTCCATTCTGGGTCACTATGCATTTATAGTTTTTTTTGTGGCATATAATCACTGGACACAGACAATCAGTGATGTCATCAAACAGGACCTGCTGAAGACGAGCTGTCTGTTAACAGTGAAGACATGTTTCTCAGAGGAGGCAGGAGGAAGAGGAGAGAGGATGAAGGACAGAAATGGGAGGAGAGACTTCAGGAGAACTGGGAGAATTGTGTGGTGAGACACCAAACAAGCATCCTTCTATCTATCTATCTATCTATCTATCTATCTATCTATCTATCTATCTATCTATCTATCTATCTATCTATCTATCTATCTATCTATCTATCTATCTATCTATCCATCCATCCATCCATCCATCCATCCATCCATCCATCCATCCATCCATCCATCCATCCATCCATCCATCCATCCATCCAATCTATCTTTTGAACTTCATATTAATCAAAGAAGGATCCTGAAAAAAATGTATCACGGTTTTCACAAAAATATTAATCAGCATAACTTTTTTCAACATTGCTTATAATAAGAAATGTTTCTTGAGCAGCAAATCAGCATATTACAGTTTTTCTCATTCGCTTTGGTGCAGTTCTCAGATCAGAAATGAAATTCTCAAAACTACTTGTTCAACCTCCACATCATCTAGTCACTTCTGCACATCATAAAGCAGTTTCTCATTCTTTTGAACAAGTTGTGATTGCTTTAGTAAATTCATGCAATTGATTATGTAAAATTGTCTGCGGTTTCCTACAGTTGCTAATGCCATGTTGCTCAAAATGTATTAAATAGTTCTCTGTGCAATAGTCTTCTTACCCCTCAAAACATCTAGTCATCAGTTCATCGTATAAGTCATTAAATGCAAAATGGTTGATCTAGTTGTCATAAACTGTCAACCATATTTTCTACACATTTCTATTAGACTTTTTGTAAATATGCCATGCATTGATGAATTGTGGAGGTGAATCTTGACTTTCACTAATGAAGAGAATGTAGATCAAACAATGAGAAACCAGTTCTCTGAAATAGCTCAAAGTTGCATCTCATGAACCTTCAATTGGCAAGCACACAGTGCATGCAAAAGGAAATTTCTGCCTAAGGGGTCTTTCCTGTGTTTGCCTGTCTAATATTGTATTTTCGCCTTTGTGCG